CTCCCATTTGTCTCCCACATTCTGGATGCTCTAACGCCCGTCTGGTATCGGAATCGGTACTTCTCAATTGCTGTTTGGGGTCGAGGCTGGTATAATAATTCGTGTTCTTTTGAAATAATGCTTCCGTCATTCCGTCAAGGGCTTACCGCTTCCGATCTGTTGCTTGGCGCTCGGGGGTGTCCAGGATTTGCATCTGGGGTCCGGTGGGCTTCGAATCAAAGGTCTTCGGGTTTGGGCAAAGGGCTTCTTGCGGGCATCTGGGGCAGTCTGAATCATGACTACACCGTTTCAGGAAGCTTCTGGAGAGCCTGTAGCTTCACAGCGGCTTAACATACTCTGTGACACAGAGGCCATACAGGAAGGCGCTGATGAGCACCCCTTTTTTTACCCCTAACCCCTAAGCCGCTTCCGATCTGAAGCTTCGAATCTCCCTGAACTCTCGATGGGCCTTCACAAATAAACCTGAATAGAGGGGCCTCACTAATTGAAATGGGGCTCGCTGCTACATGATACTGTAGTTCTACTTCGATTCTCTGAGGGATGGTATGACGAAATCTTCACGCTTCTAGATCAAACTCCTAAACCTGCAACCCTTAACTGGGCTCCACAAAAGCTCTTGTAGGTTTTGGTCTTAACAGAATTGGGTTCCTTTATAGGGGCGCTTTAACAATGAGAATAAGTAGGGTTTGGGGTACATGAGAGTAAAGGGACTATAGCATGATCATGCTAATGCTGATTCCGACCCCTATCATACAGCAACAACTTCGGCAGACTGGGTTTAGTTTTACGCAGAACTGGTGAGAAAGTTCCTTTGTCACGTGCATGGAACTCGAGCGCATGCCGGAACCCCCTTCATCGCCCATTCATCCCAGCTCCCTGCACAGGCCGTCGTATCTCAAAACCTCAATAAATTACTTTACTATACAGATCTTTGTCAACAAGAAGGTCCGACCCCCTAAACCCCAGAAGGGGGTGTCATGGGGCGTGTAAAGGAACTCGTTTACGAACCCTTGCTGATAAATTGGGTCTCATCTACCTTGCAAGCTTTCCTTCCCTGGGTCCCTTGGAGAGGCTCCTCGAACTCCGCACGCGAAATTAACCCAGAGCTGTCTACCTGCATGGCTGGTGAAGCTCCTAAAAGTGGGGATTTGAGTTGCTAGCAGGATTTTTTTAAATTGCTTCTCAAGGGGGTTCGGCACTTACGGTTTGCAAGGGTCCTCGGCGCTTGGGGTTTAGGGGTGTCTTAGGGTCTAGAACTTGGAACCTTGAGGGATTTTTGAGTTTAGTATGGTGCTGCAGGCTCGAGATTTGCATGCCCTTAAGTCCCCCCGACAAGCACAGTAGCGCCAGATCTGCGCCTTAGGAACCTACCGAGGTCTGTGTACTTCCTAGGTCCGCAAAGACCTTAAACCTTAGCTTTGCTTTGCTTTGCTTGCTGCTCGCTCGCTTGCTGAAAAGCTTGCCTTTTCCCGCATCGGTCTTGTACTGCCCCCGTGTCAGTCGAGTTGTCAGCTTGTGCTGTTTCCGCTCACGTGCCGCGGTGTCACCCCTGCAACACGGATCAACAAGGTGCTTCCAGCCTAAGGCCTAAGCTGCAGGCTCGCGACACACGCAACGCAGCGAAACAAACCTAGGGATCACCTTAAGCTTCTTAGGCTTCCAAATTGCTGACGAAACAACGAGGTTACTACTACGAATACGAATAATCATGATGGTCGTGACAAGACAAAGAGTGAGAGCACCAAGAGAGCACTAGTAATGGTGACAGGAAGCACAACAACAATAACCATAATAATCATGATAACAATATCAAAACACTGCTGCTACTACTAAGCACTAGTTGTAACAACAGTCACTGACATCAGATGATAATCATCATCGTCATCATCATCAGCAGCAGCAGCACAATCACAACAGCAAGATAAAGTATAAGCACTATGAATATAACAATAAGAATAATACTTCCAATAATATAAGAATACTAAGAATTTCACACAAAACGATAATACCATAAATGGGAGTGATATGTAGCGGTAATAAGAACATGTAGTGATGTTGATAAAACCAATACTGATACTGCTACTACTACGAATACTAATGAAGATAATTACACAACAATACTACAATACTACTACTACTAATAATAATGATGATGATGATTAGCAATAATTCTCAGCTGTGTCGTGGGGGTTGACTCATGAACGCTCAGCGTTGGTGCCGGAAGCTACGTGTCCTCTGTGGAATCGACAGAGCTACAGGGCTTGGAACTTGAAGCCCAAGGTGACATCAGTTGAATAAGGATGCATAGCTGCAAAAGCAAACCCGACATCCCGCTCGTTGCATCTGGCCACATCCAAAATCTTGAAAAGCTCCTCCATGCTGTCCACGGACGCACCTCGAGCTCGCAGCTTCAGACACAAATCAATAAATTTCGAAGCCTTTTCGACCTTGCCTACTTCTGACAAAAAGCAGGTGTGGTTCTGGGAAAGGGCGGCAAGGGCGCTTGTGTCAGTTCAGTCGTGCTCAAGAGCTGTGCATTCAGACAGAAGGCTTACACCCCAAACCCTACGACAAAGCACAATCCTCCTGGAAACAAACATGGAACCCCGCCAACAAGCCAAACAGCAGCGCATAATGGTCCCTTCTGCGGACAAGGAGTCTGTCTATAAATCCCACCCTTCACTTTCTGATGTAGGGATTCACTGCAGGCCGGCCAGGTGACGTGAGCGAACCGGGTGGGTGAGCACCAACTGCTACTATGACCGGACTCGAGGAGTAGAGCTTTCGAGGCTACTTTGGGGGTTGCGGCATCTCATGTTAGTAAATAGGGGCCAAAGAAGTTGGAATAGGGTATTGGGGTTGTTAGTGTAATCAAGGGCAGTTTTAAGCTGCGCAGCACCCCTAAGGAATGGCATCCGGAATTGTATAGGCTTGCACATTTTTGCCCCCCTGCAACTCTACGTAACCAGGCTCGTATCATAGGGTGCATGGGGTTAGGGCGTGGGTTTCGAAGATTTGCCACCAAGGTTCGGTGCTAAAGCACTCCCTCATTCCAGAATTCGTGCATCTATGTGAAGCCCAGCAGAAACATCCTACAGAAGCAGGGGCACAGCCAAGGTTTCCAAGTCAGGCTACTCCCAACTACACCCTGTAAGCTCAGGTCTAAACCTGAACACCCAAACCCTAAACTCACACCCTAAAGCTTTAATCCCCTGGGCTATGCCTTTGAAGATACACCCGTAAACACACCCCGTAAACCTAAACTCCCCTCTTCCACCGAAGCCCTAAACACCCCCCTAAACCCTTTTCAGTGCGAGTGCGGGCTCTATGCGCATGCCGGCAAAGGCTGGGCCGTCATGCTCTTCACGAGACACCGGCTTCCTAAACCATAAACCCTGATCCTAAACATTCCTCGAGATCCGAGATGTTTGGGAGAGACTGCAAGCTTGATCCCAAAGTCTTGAACCCCCACTCCTCCACAGCTAAGTTAAGCCTCAACTCCTTCTGACATGGCCCAGGCACGGTCCAGGATCCGACGATTGATGCCTCCTTCACTTCCCGGCTTGTCAAACTTGACCATCTCCTCCCCGATTTGGGAGTTTCTGAAAACAAGGGGTACCTTCTTTTTGGGGTCCTTAGTAAGGATCCTACTATTTAAGGTACTATATTAGGGTCCCCTATTTTCTAAAACCCTCATTTAAGGTTTAGCGAAGGTTCAGGACCTTCAGGGCTTATCAGGCTGTTGCTAGAGGGGTTCTAGGCTGTGTAGAAAACTCTTCAACTGGTTCCCGGTTTGGGTTTTTTGAGGCTTCGGGAGATCGGCACCTTGGAGACACGGACCTTGATAGGGTCTTGGGCTTTCAAGCCTTGGGCTACATAGGAGAAGAGCCCTACGTCCTAAACCCTCAAGCCCTTAAAGCGCTAAAGCTGATTGTTGCCGAGAGACGGAAGGTTCTTAATCGCTTAGATCTTTATTCGACCCTGTGAGAAGCAAGTCCCTAGGCTGCTTTAGAGTTTCGAAGACCCCTTTTTTAAGCACGGACTATCCTTTTGCATCCAGCCTGCAAGCACAGACTATCCTAAACCCCTAAACCCTAAACCGCTAAACCCTGAACCCTTGCGTATTCTCGAAGGATTTCTTCAGGGTTTAGGGGTCAGAGGAGCAGGGACCGGCCCGACAGTCCCCAAGCTGGCAAAGGGCATCAAGGCCTCTCCCTGAAAAAGTAGGGGCCTGCAGACTTAAAATAGGGTTTTGGGGTTCTTTTTATACCATAATTCTAAGCAGGAGCCCCCAAAATCGTATCCGTAGAGGTATTTATTTAAGGCCCTATAATAGTCCCGAAGACCTTGCTAGGATGAGCCGAACACGAAACCCGGCTCCTCGATGTGAATCTCGCCACTGCAGTCCGTGTCGATTTTGTCGAAGAGACCCACTATCTCTGGCAGCATGTGTTTCGTGGTGATGCTCTCCATCTTGCGCTCCTACTATGAAAGAGGGAGTAGTGGTGGTGGTAGTAGTAGTAGTAGTAGCAGTAGCAGTAGCAGTAGCAGTAGCAGCAGCAATAGGAGTAGTGGCAGTAGGAGTAGGAGTAGGCGTCGTCGTCGTAGTAGTAGAAGTAGTAGAAGTCGAAGTAGTAGTAGTAGTAGTAGTCGTCGTCGTCGTCGTCGTCGTCGTAGTGGTAGTAGTAGTGGTAGTAGTAGTAGTAGTAGTAGTAGTAGTAGTAGCCGTAGCAGTAGCAGTAGCAGTAGTAGTAGTAGTAGTAGTAGTAGTAGAGTAGCAATAGCAGTAGCAGTAGCAGTAGCGGAAGCAGCAGCAGCAGCAG